ATTGATTGTGTAAATATATTTATTTTTTGTTGCGTTTTGCTAACCATTAGCATCACAGCGATCTTTGCGTGGGTTCGCTAACGAGTTGTAACCTTGTGTTTGTGGGCTGTTTTAGGAGATGGAGATGTGTGTATGGAGGACCAACGAATTGTTTTATTATGCTTTGTGCAGAGAGAGAATAAAGCTCCAACACAGCAGTTCAGATGGCCTTGGGTCATCCTTAATACATAACACAACGCAGAAGTTTTTCCACCAGTTACAATGGTGCCGTGACCTTTGGTTCATCAGATCTACGCTCGCTAGATTGCCGGGATTGCTGCCGATATAGCCACCGGTGCTGATGTGTGCTGTCCCCCGACCCCCTCCGTGCACCCCCCCCTCTCCTCACGTCCGACACTCTGTCATGCCTGCTGTTCGAGGTGGTGGTGTAGCTGTATTGATGCTGTGTTTTAGGTATTGAGTAATAGCATCGCATAATGCTTTAGTTGTAGCCATCTGTAGCGCTTAGAATACCGCTGGTTTGATAGCATTTTCTGTTTAAATATTTTTTTTATGCTGATTTTTTATTTTTTTTTCCAGGGCTACGTTTATAGGTACTAGTAAACTGAATTTGTAGCCTGGTTTGCTATGTTTTCATTTTGAACTTGAAGTTACTTTTTACCAGTTATGTTAGTGTTGCACTTTTGTACTGTATCTTTGTTTACATAGTCACTTCAGTCAGAATGTCACTGTCCAAGATGAATGGTATTCATGTACCTAGTGGGTTCGGGAGGGGATGCTTGTTGAGTACAGATGGAGGGGCCAATTATCAAAAGGTAGGCCAGTCATCTTTGAGTCCAGTTGCATGTTCCACTCCGGTCGCTCAGGTAGTCAGAAACACACCAGGACAGGTAACAAACACTAGTACTGTTGGGTATGCTAATGTTGGACACACAAAGAGGGTGCATGACACTGACAACGTGATGAATGATGTCAGTGGCAGTAATTCAGGCCTAGTACCTGCTACACAGACCTGCTCAGGAGGGTGCTTAGATGCAACAAAACTCAATGTAGTTGTCCGATCAGATGTCATACCACCCCCGTTCTTCAGAGGTGACCACACTGACACGTGCACAGTTCATGAATGGGAAGATTTGATGTGGAGTTACCTGCGCAGACGCAAATGCAGTACCGCTACGATGCATGAAGTAGGGGTCAAGTAGGCTTATGGGGAAAGCCAGGGACATAGTGAAGGTATCACTGCGCAGCAGCCCAGACATAGACCCATATAACTGTCCTACCACTGTTTTTGACATACTGAAGCAGAATTTTAGTGAACAACTTACTCTAGCATGCCTATGGCAGACTTTTATGGCACGCTGCCAAGAACGGGAGAGAGTGCACTGGATTATTGGGTACGTCTGAATAAGGCCATAGATATCGCTGATAAGTGTCTCCGCAGGCAAAGGTAAAGGTGTTGAAGACGTGAGTACTGAAGACGTGATGATGTTTGTTACTCACTGTCCAGATCCATGTCTTGCCTTGTCTTTCAAAAGCAAACCAGCTGGGAAATGGTTGGCCTCAGATGTCCAGGAGCGGTTGGATGACCATCAGAGGGATCTGCGGCGGGGGGCCTCAGTGTGTCAGCACCCGCCTGCCACTTACAGTCCTAGCTGTGTGGCGGTCACTCAGTCAGCTGTACAGTTGAACAACTCATATGTGCAGTCTGAGGACGCAAACCACTCCTCGCTTCATCAGCCTCGGGCAGCTGCCCCTCTCACCGTGAATCATGTGGAGAAAGGTGGTAAGCATGCTGAATAAAGTAATCACACTGTGTTCCGCTCCACAGTCAGTGTCACACCAGGTGCAGCCTCAGCAGCGTCAGCGGTCGCCTCGACTGCCAGTGCCCTCTACCTGTCGGGTGTGCAGCAACACTGACCACTCCACTTACAGCCACTGCAGGCTACTGAAGCTCTGCCATCACTGCTTCCAACCTGGCCATTTCAAAAGTGATTGTCCAAGTGTGTCTCATCCAGGAGCTGCATCAGGAAAGCCCAACCACACGCCGTTAAACTAGAGGCTCCACGCTGTGCGAGGGCAAGCGTGGGCACTGGTACAGAAGCCCTCAAAGGTGAACCAGATTTACTCTCTATCTACAGTAACAACTGTCAGCTTTTGCCAGCGGGACAGGCGCCGTTAATCATTAGTCCATAGAAAACGGAAGCATCAAGCGAGCTGTTTTATACACCCATACTGGTGTAGGTGGCGAGGTTACTTTGCGAGGGTTGCTGGATTTGGGCTCCATGTGTTGTACATTAAGTGAAGAGGCAGAGAGGAAACTTCAAGCTGCTAGAGTCTTACCCAGTGCTCAGTTAATCCCTGGAAATGTGGTGCTTGTGGGCTGTGGGGGAAAGACGGCATATCCAAAGTGTTTCTATGATCTTGACATTGAAGTGTATGAGTCAAAGTTTGTTGTGCCTACTCTAGTTGTTCCAGGCCAACGAGATGACTTCATAGTCAGCACTAATGTGATAGTCAGTCCTTCAGAAAATGAGGAAGAAGAAGGAATACTGGGAGCAGCGATCCTGACTGTGAGCGTTTTCTGTTGAGCTGTGTGTCACGGTGGGAAGGCCCAGGTCAGTGCGACAAGGTTAGAACAGTGAAGCTTGTGCTTAATGTCACACTCCTACCGCAACGCGAACACCTAGTATGGGGGAGACTCCCCGGTGATGTTCCCATGTCTCCTGGTAGCACAGTCATAGTTGAGCCCACCTCGGCTCGCTCTACTCCAAAGAATATTCTAGTCGGAAGACCAGCCACTGCTATGTGGGGTGATCGCTGGGTCCCGATGAGGATCCTTAATCCAACACTGAAACCCATTATACTGCTGCGAAATGCTAAGATAGCTGATGTGTCCCCGTGTTTGGCAATAGAGGATTTGAACATCACACAGGGATCTTGTCAAACCCAAGCTGTAGGCTCCAGCTTAGAGCTATCCTACAGCACGCTCAGTAGCCTTACTAGAGCGATGAATGATGCTGGGTTGAGTGATATTGATTTGGACAGTTGTGAGGTTTCCCAGGCTGACAAAGCAAAGCTGGCGAGTCTGCTTTTAGAGTATAGTGACATTTTCTCAAAAGACTCCCTTGACTGTGGAGAGGCCAGAGACTTTGTTCACAGGATTCACCTCTCAGATGACCGTCCTTTCCGGCTCCCCTACCGGCGTATCCCACCAGCACACTATCAGAAGCTAAGGCAAGTGTTGAATGAAATGGAGGAGTGCGAAATCATCAGAAAATCGATGAGTGACTACGCCTCCCCATTGGTCATGGTATGGAAAAAGAATGGTGACCTGCGTGTTTGCACGGACTTCAGGTAGTTGAACGCACGAACTGTTAAAGATGCCCACCCCCTGCCCCATCAGTCTTACTGTCTTGCTGCACTCGGGGGTAATGTTGTTTTCAGTACAATGGACTTGACATCTGGTTTTTACAATGTCCCAATGCATGAAGCTGATAAGAAGTTCACAGCTTTTACCACTCCGCTAGGCCTGTATGAGTATAATCGTCTACCTCAGGGCCTGTGCAACAGTCCGGCGTCCTTCATGAGGATGATGCTGAACATTTTCGGTGACTTGAACTTTTCCAGTCTCTTATTTTACCTGGACGACCTGCTGTCTTTTGCACCGTCTGTCGATATGGGGCTTGAGCGTCTGAGGACTGTTTTCAGCCACCTGAGGGCCAACAACCTCAAGTTATCACAGAAAAAGTGCCACTTTCTGAGACGGTCAGTTAAATTTTTGGGTCACATTGTAGACAATACTGGAGTCTCTGTGGACCAGGAAAAGGTTGATGTTATTTCGTCCTTTGAGAAAATTGATTTGATGGAGTCGGATGGTTGCACCCCATCCCAGAAGAGGATACGATCGTTCTTGGGTATGGTCTTATATTACCAGCATTTCATTCCGAACTGTTCCTCCATTGCAAAGCCTTTGTTTTGTCTGACTGCAGGCGCTAAGCGTAGAGGAAACAGGGCGAAACATGGAAGAGGCGGCACTTTTGGCCAGCTGGCCCCAAAGGACTGGATGGCAGTTTGTGATGATGCTTTTGCAGAGCTGAAGAATGCTTTAGTCTGCTGTGTGGTTCTCGCCCACCCAGACTTTGGCAAGCCTTTTATCCTCTCAACAGATGCATCTCTTGACAGCTTAGGGGCTGTTCTTTTACAAGTCCAAGATGGTGATGACAGGGCGAGGCCTGTCGCATTTGCAAGTAAGTCACTCAGTCGTAGCCAAGTCAACTATCCTGCACACAGGCTAGACTTTTTGGCGCTGAAATGGGCTGTCTGCGATAAGTTCAGCCACTGGTTGAAGGGCAGCCAGTTCACAGTGTGGACGGACAATAACCCACTCGCATACATCATGACAAAGCCAAAGCTGGATGCCTGTGAACAGCGTTGGGTGTCCAAATTGGCCCTTACAATTTCAAGATCAAGCATATTCCAGGCAGGTTGAACGTGATTGCTGATATGCTGAGACCCCTTTGTCAAGCCACTGGGCCAGCGGCTGCTATCAGAGCGATACACGGAGCTGCTTAATTGTGCAAATGATGTTGAAGACTGATTTGTCCAAGATGTTTTTCGTTTGACCAGGCAGCCCCAAACACTGACCTGTTCGACTGGGTTCTCATNGTTTTCAGCCGCCTGAGGGCCAACAACCTCAAGTTATCACAGAAAAAGTGCCACTTTCTGAGACGGTCAGTTAAATTTTTGGGTCACATTGTAGATAATACTGGAGTCTCAGTGGACCAGGAGAAGGTTGATGTTATTTCGTCCTTTGAGAAAACTGATTTGATGGAGTCGGATGGCTGCACCCCATCCCAGAAGAGGATACGGTCGTTCCTTGGTATGGTCTTATATTACCAGCATTTCATTCCGAACTGTTCCTCCATTGCAAAGCCTTTGTTTTGTCTGACTGCAGGTGCTAAGCGTAGGGGAAACAGGGCGAAACATGGAAGGGGCAGCACTTTTCGTCAGCTGACCCCAGAGGACTGGACGGCAGTTTGTGATGATGCTTTTGCAGAGCTGAAGAATGCTTTGGTCAGCTGTGTGGTTCTCGCCCACCCTGATTTCGACAAGCCGTTTATCCTCTCGACAGATGCATCACTTGACGGCTTGGGGGCTGTTCTTTCGCAAGTCCAAGATGGAGATGCCAGGGCGAGGCCTGTAGCATTTGCGAGTAAGTCACTCAGTCGTAGCCAAGTCAACTATCCTGCACACAGGCTAGAGTTTTTGGCGTTGAAATGGGCCGTCTGTGATAAGTTCAGCCACTGGTTGAAGGGCAGCCAGTTTACAGTGTGGACGGACAATAACCCGCTCGCATACATCATGACAAAGCCAAAGCTGGATGCCTGTGAACAGCGTTGGGTGGCCAAATTGGCCCCTTACAATTTCAGGATCAAGCATATTCCAGGCAGGTTAAACGTGATTGCTGATACGCTGAGCAGAGACCCCTTTGTCAAGCCACTGGGCCAGCGGCTGCTATCAGAGCCATACACGGATCTGCTTAAGTGTGCAAGTGATGTTGCAGACGGATTTGTCCAAGATGTTTTTCGTTTGACCAGCCAGCCGCAGACACTGACCTATTTGGCTGGAGTATCATCTGGCTCTAAGGCATCCCTGTCTGAGGCTGAGGTGTCAACTATGCTGGAGAGTCACAGTGACTGGGAATCTGCTTCGCGACTCAGGGCTATGTCGGCAGCAGAGCACCTGTCTGAGGTGGTGAAAGTAGGCCTGCCCGCTCTGCCTGCTATGTCACTACAGGAGTTGCAGTCACACCAGCAGCATGACCCGTCCATTGCGGCAGTGCTACCTTATGTGGTGAGGAGACAGAGACCGTCTTTCCGTGAGCGTTGCAGAGAAAACCAGTCCGCTCTTCGGTTACTAAGGCACTGGGACAAGCTGACCTTGAGGAATGGTGTTTTGTATCGAGTCAGTAAGGACACGCTGACAAACCACAAGCGATTTCAGTATGTTTTGCCTGAGACACTGAAACGTCAAGCCCTAGCTGGAGTCCACGACCACGCTGGTCACCAAGGTCAGGCCCGCACACTCCATCTGACCCGTCAACGGTTCTTTTGGCATGACATGGAGAAGGATGTTCGCGATTATGTCAAGAAGTGCGGCAGATGTGTACTGAGCAAAACGCCTGAGCCAGCTGCTCGAGCCCCAATGGAGAGTGTAAAAACAACCGCTCCATTGGAACTGGTATGCATCGACTTTTCGTCCACAGAAGGCCACAACAACAAGTCTGTGGATCTTCTGGTAATGACTGATCATTTTACGAAGCTAGCCCAAGCATTTCCATGTCGAGACAAGACAGCAAAGCAAGTAGCTAGGGCACTGTGGGACAAGTTTTTTTGTGTCTATGGATTCCCTGAGTGCAGGGACGGACTGGGACTAAAAAACAGCCCTGGACTTTGACTGGGCCCGGCCCAAAGTAATCGGCGTGCGGAAACTCGGCAACAACAATGCTTGGCATGAGTGTTACAAGACTTTAATTGTGGCTTATGCTATCAAACCATCAAAATTATAGCAACAGTGCTGATGTTGACTAGATGTTGTATTAAAAGTATATTATTCTAGATTAACTTGAATACTCACATAGAAATGGAGGTCTCAGCATACTGCAGTCCCTCTGGCTGAACCAATACAAAACAGTTATCTGAAACACACAACACATAGTACTGTATGAGTTATGATAAATCACAAAGTAAAGAGGATTTAGTATGCAGGTTAACTTGAATACTCACCTTACTCAATGTTGGGGGATAAGTATTTTCTTCAACAGGTCGCTTTTTTCTGCAACTCTGTCTATGACCAAGTCATTGTCAAGGGACATGAGGATGTCTTTCTCTGTAGTCATAAGCATGAATGCTTCCAGGTGTTCTTGTGACTGTGTGCTTCTTATTCTACTTTTTATGTGTTTGAGAACAGAGAAACTTCTCTCACATGCTACCTGTGTCACAGACAGAGTATGGAGGTACCTGTATCCCCAGCCAAGAATATGGTAAGCATCTGTGAAGAGGTTATATCGTTTCAGAATCTGATAACAACAGACTGGGCATTCCTTGCAAGATTTACACTTTTTGTTTAGTACATCTGTGTTCTCTTCTTCGTCATCATCACAGGCAACCCCTACCATCCTGACCTTGTACTCTTCAAGTGCAGACATTTTAAGCCGTGGCCACTGAGCTGCCAGACACTTTAACTCAGACTGCAAATTGACAGCTGTTGCTCTGTTGTCAAACCTGAGCAGGCATTTACTAAGTTCTTGAAATGCAGAATCAGGCACTGATGCCACGTCAGCAAAGTTTCTTGGATCAAGAAGGACCAAGTCGGTATAGAGTGCAGCATGGGTCAGAAAACACCTGTGGATGCTCTCAGTGATTGTATCCATAATCTGGTTATGGACCTCAACTTCATAGGCTCTGTTTGGATCTGTGAGAGCCTCATCACTTGTCATTTCTCCAACCATCTTCTTCCTTTTCTGTGGAAGTTCTGCCTCCAGTTCAAGCTCACAGTCTTCTTCCGCCATGAGTTGTATATTTGCCCACTGGACAAAGTTATCAGCAGCTTGCTTAACTGACAGAAAATCTCTCGCCATGTCCTTCATGGTATCTTGAGTTGTCATTACCATCCTGTGTGCAGTTAAGATATCTAGTCCTCTTGACTGGAGGTATTTTGACAGCGGTGTTGTGACCTCAAATATCCGCAGGAAAAGCTGAGCAGTTAACACTGT